GCACTTATAGAGTCAGATGGTGACTACACAATGTATTAATTTTAGTTAGTTGGTTATGTATTTTTTAAATAAAAAAATAATTTTGAATTTACTTATTTGTAGCCGGAGTTAGAGGCGGTCGGATACTTATGACCGCTACTGTATCTCAGATTTATTTTGTATTACATTAAATAGAGAATCTTTTTAATTAAAATCATATAATTGAACAAGAACAAATTCTTATATTTACTATAAAAATAATATTCAATATTTTTTTAAGTAATATTTGGATTATGATTGATACATTTAAAATAATTCTAACAATATTTTATCAATTATATATAATTCATACTCTTATTAGTACTGAAAAAACTTAAAAATTCTTTCATTAATATATGTATTAATAACATACAAATTTGTAGAACTTTATAAATGGCTTTTTAATGATTTATTTAAATTTGCTGATGAAAATTATATTTAATTAATATAGTCAAATATAATTACAGATGTTAAACAAGTCACAATTAACGTATCACATCATGAGTTTTTTAAATGCTATTAATAAGAAATGATTTTCCATTTAAAACAAAATGGTTGGTGAAAAATACAAAACTGTAGGTTGGTCATTTATTATGAAAATGATGAAAATTTTGGTCTTATGATGAGCATCTATTTGCTTTAGCATTTTTACCACAAGAAATTCCTATACATTTGATGCCTTAAAACTAATAATACCTTTAAAGGCAAATGATGTAGTTCAGTATTTTGAAAATGACTATATTTATAGAAGAGTACAAAGACAGATACAAAATGGTAACAAAATTTATGATTCACTACTATTTCCTTTGGTACTATGATCAGTTTATGACTTAATAGAACTTAGCAACCTATAAATACTTCAATATAGATGAATGACTCCTTTGTAAGATAAACAGGTCAATTAACTTTAGCCAAAGATTTGAAAATAATTTGAGCTTGAATGAATGATAATAGAATGTTAATTAATGCATGTGGGTAAAAAAAATTATGTTTAAGGTCTGCTGATATAATAAATTCAATAAATTTTTAATTATAGACGCTTGTTATTAATTATAAAGCAGATAATTACAAATTTGTATTTATATTACAAATTGTAAACCGAAGATGATATGAAAATTCTCTTTTTTTTTTTTTGTAAATTTAGAAAATAACTACGATCAGAACTTTGAACTTCTTACATTATATTAATATCAAAATATTTTTATTTAATCATTTATGGAGAAAAGAGTTATGTAAGGTATGTAGGAAAATAAATATTTTTAAAAATAAAATAATCCTTCAAGGATAAGCGCACATCTTTTTAAAATCGCATCCAATCTTATCACCAAGAATCTCTTTAAATTTGTTCCATTCGCAATATTCACTATCACAACCCGGAATTACAAACGGATTAAAATCGAGCAACACACGTATCAACACGCGATCATCGGAACAATTATAAATTTCGAAATAAAGCGTAGAAGACCAGTTTAAAAGTGTATGTTCCGTATATTTGACATTTTTAATTTGTTCAAAGGTTAAATCTGCTGTGAGTGGGAATTTATTTTTAAATACTCCCTGTAATTAATAAATAACAAATATATATTATTTATATATATCCAAAAATTAAAATAAATTATAAAAAAAAAAAAAGAAAAATTTCACACACCAATGTAGTAAGTATCATAAATATAGTAAAACTATGAGCATTTTTTAGATCAGCTATCATACTAGAATTACCATTTAAATAATTTTCAACTCCATTTACAAGCTGAGTAAGGTATCTACAACCCAGTCGCGTATTGAGAGGATGACCATATGAATATCGATGATAATATAATAGGTCGTAATAATATCGTGTTAATAAAAGTTCTTTGGGGCTTAATAATGAACACCACGCATCGGTTCGATTAAAAACGGCGAGCCAAAATTGGCAATTGTTAAAAACATGTAGTACTAGACGTGGATCAAGAGGTGGGATAATATGGTATGTTTCGGAAAGTCGGTTGGCAATTGGTGTTAACGTCTTGTTACCATAGGCGTAAGCTTGTTCGTCAAGTAATTTATTATTATTATAAACGGTCTCGTTCCAACGTCTACAGGCTACATACATATGTAATGTATCATCTTGGTCCTATTAAAGAAATATACAAGGTGTATGTAGTATTTGCTAAAGGATGATTAAATGGCGCAGTTAAGAATTTTTTTTTTTTTTTTACCGGTGGTACAGTCCAATAGTATATAGGTTGACTTTTACAAGTGTCTAAAGGCCCCTTGCCATTAAATAAACCTTGAGAAAAGGACATTATCGACGCACCGTTTCTTAAGAAGAATAATATGAATAAATCATCAAAAATGAAATGGTTGTAAAAGCCTACTTTGAAAAACTAATAAATTGTACCTTGAAAATTGAGTACTTTGAAATTTTATAACTTCGGGATCATATTCAATTCCATCCCAAAACTTTGCATATCTTTTACGGGATTGTAATCCATCAAAATAAGGTTCGATTTCCCCTCGTTTGATCAATTGAAAATTTTTATTCATGGGGAAAGGATTTTTATACTAAAAAAGATAATAATTGTCCTAGTTAATCACGACAATATTTATTGAATTCTTCGTAATTTAATCGAGTATTTTTTTTGTTACCCATTCTTTTGCGACAGTAACATTGGCAAATATTTTTTCCAATTCGTCAAAACCTCTAATATTATCTGGAGCTGGATATCTTGATCCTGATCATTAATTTAAAAAAAATTATTTTTACGTCAAATCTATATATACATTACATTGTACGAAGTAGTAATTACCGTGTCTAGAAACCATATGTAATTGTTTTAAGTCGCATTTGTCAGGATAACTTATGGGTTCAATGTCAAGAGCAAAGGCAGTTTGTGGTGGTTCGGGGTAAAAAAGATGGTTGTTGAGAAGATATTCTCTAGAATACTTGTACATTCTGCATAGCGTCGGGTTATGGGATACAAATAAATTGATTATAAATACTGAATATAAAATGCGATATGGAAACTGCATCTTTTTTTTAAAAAAATTATAATTCAATTTATTTTATAAAGTTAAAAAGAGGAAATAATGGTCTTTTTATATTAATTTCACTAACGTATTTCCATTATTGAAATATTAAATGAATAAGGCATGTTCTAAAAAAGTGTGAGAACAAATATTTTTGTTTTGATAATTTGAAAAGTTAAACAAATAAGAAAGTCAATTAGTATGGTTGATAGAACCACCATGTTTAGTTATTTAATTTTTTTTTAGGATGACCGGTTTCAGAACGAGTTACTGCGGTGATTTATCTCATGACATAATTCTTTTATTCTTTTATTGAAATATGTAATAACATATCGAGGTTATTCGACGAAAAATTTTTTTGATACGGAGATAAGAATTCTTTAAAATTCAAATATAAAGTTATCCGGATGGATTGTAATACATCATTAATAATCTATGATTACCAATTCCTACATATGCATGCATATGGCTCCATCAAGC